TAGTATCATCCACTTCCAAACACACTATGAATATAGTTTGCATTACAGATTCATTTATTCTTCTCTAACAATGTTGGGCCTTAATGACATGTGTGATTCACCTTGAAGCTATTCCATCCAAGATTCCTGAGTTGCTTGCATATTATCCACTTTGACACTATAGATACAGTTCACACTATGGAATTTTTTAGCTGCCTAGAAATCCCCTCCACTTCTGCCTTTACTTCAGCTCTGAGATCTCCAGTTGTACCTTATCTGCATACCCCACCCACATCTGTATTACCATTGAGTTGACAAAGTTCTTTGATCTTTCTCTTCTTCTCTCTCCAGTTGCACCTTACCTGCATACCCCACCTACATCTGTATTACCATCCTTCACAGACAAGAGTTCACCAAGTTCTTTGTTGTTTCTCTCCTTCTCTTCCTCTCTTCCTCTCCTCCTCTTCTTCTCTCCCTGCCTTTCTCCCTCTTTCTCTTGAGTTTTGATTGTAAATTTATGGACAATGAGTTCACCAAATTCTCTTCCTTTCTTCCCCTCCTCTTCTTCTTCTCTCCCTGCCTTCCTCTCTCTTTCTCTTGAGTTTTGATTGTAAATTTATGGACAAAGAGTTCACCAAGTTCCAAGATATATCTTTGAAATATACTTTGAACCAAAATCTGTATTTGTGATGTAAGCGTAATCAAAAGGGAGTGATTGAGTGGGTTGATAGAAAATCAAGCAAGTGACTTGATTGAAACTGAGTCAAGGATATTAATATGTAAGTAAAGAGTGGAGTCGAAACTGAGTGAACAATATTAATGCATAAGTAAAGAGTAGAAGGATAGCCATGGGTAAAGACAGTGAAGGAACAGCTAACAAAAGACATTTGTATTACTGCAATCCCCAAAGTTAGATCAAGTAAAGCATGGCATAAAGGACTTACAAAGGACTATAGGAAAGGGATGCAGTCTAAACAAACAAGTCAGATTGGTGAAAGGGACCATGAAAAGAACTTACAAAAAGGGTGGAGTGAGGTGTGTAGATGGACAAAGGCAAAAGGAGGGGACACAGCCTAAAACCATCAAGTCAGATTGATGAAAGAACATCATAAAGGACTTATGCAATGATGTATGGGCAAAGGCAAAATCGGGAACACAGCTACAAATGAACAAGTCAGATGTGTGAATGGACATAAGTAAGGACTTAGGAAATACCAAATGAACAGCACAACAACCAAGTTAGATGGAAGAAAAATAAGTCCAAAAGGACTTAACATGAAAGCAATGACTAGTGTTTGCAAGTTCAGTTCAGTCCGGTTTTTTGCCCCCAAAACGCGCAACCATGGACCGCAACCGGTCTAGAACTGACCCAGATATTGAGGGAACCGAACCGAACCACCCAGGACCGGTCTTTTTCGGTCTATGGAGCTGGTTCAGACCGATCCAGACCGGTTTTTTTGCGTATAATTTATTATACCAATATAAACCATTTGTATCTTGACTATTATTACTCTGAAAAATAAACGGGTTATATGAAATAGTAAAGCATGTAAATACCCGTCATTCTACCAATTTTGAAGAGATTTAATGACGATTTGACATAGCTATGACTGAAACCGAATTACATCTCATAGAGACTCGGGTAAAATATGGATTTGGTTATATCTTTCTCAATTCTTAACCGTTTTTGATGAAACAAAAACGCAATAAAAGGTAATAAACGTGGTTACAAGGGTATGTAACGCACGTGACCGTTTAACCGGTTGCAACCGATCAAAACCGGTCTTTGAACAGTTTTAATATATTTTCGAAATGAGGCAACCGGCAACTGGACCAGCCCCAAATTGGGGCAACTGCAACCGAAAAAAAGACCGGACCATGGTCCGGTTCAGTTCGGTCCACCGGTTTTTTGCGGTCCTATGGACTGAACCTTTAAACACTAGCAATGACCTAGTTAGCAACTGAACCTTGAGAGTTCTTCCCTGGCCCAGCACGTTTGCCTGAAACACAAGCATGTCCAGAAGTACTAGTGAAAGGCTGAGATACTGATCAAGATGATGAGGCAATGTGAGCTGAAGAACTAGCGAAGGGTTGAGAGACTGAATGAGATGATGAAGCTGGTGTTTTCTGGTTCTTGAGTGGGTCAAAGAAGGAGACTGGATGTTCAGCGCGTCGAAGTTTGGTATAGAACATATTATTGGGAAGGGAGGTGAAGGAGACGTGATGTTGGTGTTTAGCAGGAGGTTCCACTTCTGGTTGTTTTGGCAGAGGGTGGTACTCTCTTGTGGACTTGTGCTTGAGTTCTTCTTCAGGCAAGGCCATGGTGGTGTCATGTGATTACTTCTTCGTGGACAATGCCAGAGACAAACAGAAAGAACTGACAGGGGAAGATGTATCACCTTTCTGATCACACTTCTTCATTGGGGATGAAATGGAGCAATTGTGATGGACCCATTTAGTCGAGTCTTTGATGAAGAATTACCATTGAGTTGACAAAGTTCTTTGTTGTTTCCCTCTTTCTCTCTCCAGTTGCACCTTATCTGCATACCCCACCAACATCTGCATTACCATCCCCTGCCAGTCAAACCCCTGCATGTGATATCAAACATCTCTCCCAACCCACTTTCACAGACAAGAGTTCACCAAGTTCTTTGTTTCTCTCCTTCCCTTCCTCTCTTCCACTCCTCCTCTCCCTCCCTTCCTCCCTCTTTCTCTTGACTCTTGATTGTAAATTTATAGACAACCAATTCCATTCTCCTCTAACAAATTCTGTTCACCATGTCATAGTATGGAGTCACACATATCTTTCCTGAACCAAGATCTATTTTTCAACCATATCATGAATATTTTGATTAGATGCTGAACCAAGATATATCTTTCCATAAGGATATATTCACAAGACATATATTTCAATTATATCCTGACCCAGGATAAGTCATTCAACTATATCTTGAACCAGGATATATTTTCAACAAGATATTGAACTAGGATATATTACCAATATATATTCTCAAGCTATGTATCTCTTGAACAAAAGGATATATCTTTCAACTTTATCTTGTTTTTTTTTTGAACAAAAATATATATTCAACAAGATATTGAACTAGGATATATTACCAAGATATATTCTTAAGCTATATATTGAACCAGGATATATCACCAAGATTCCCAAGCTATATCTTGAACAAGGATATATCTTTCAACTTTATCTTGAACCAAGATATATTCTTAAGCTGTATCATGAATAAGGATATATCTAAAACTTATTGTGTAAAATTATCATGTTAGGTGGAGTGTATCAAATATTATTATATAAAATTACCCTACTACATTGCATATTAAATACAGGGAGTGAGGGAGGTGGTAAGCAGTGAGGGAGGGGGGAGTGGTGGTAGGCAGTGAGGGAGTGGGTTATAGGCAGTAAATGAGGGGTGAGGGGGTGACAGGCAATGATGAAGGGGGTGGTAGGAAAGTATGGAGGTGGGGAGTGGTGGTAGGAAATGATGGAGGAGGGAGGTAGGGGTAAAAAATGATGAAGGGGAGGTGTCAGTAACAAGTGATGAAGGGGGGGAGGTGGTGGTAACAGATGATGGAGGGAGGAAGGTGGTAGGCAGGGAGGGGAGGGGAGGCAGGAAGGAGGTGGTAGGGAGGGAGGATGAAGGAGGTGGTAGACAGAGAGGGAGGGGGGAGGGACTGGTGGGTGTGAGAGGGGGGGAGGGAATGGAGGTGCTTACTGAATGAAACATGGAACAACGATGGCAATGACACACCCCTCGTCAGTCTGCGTTGTGACCCGGCTCGCTCGTTGGGTCGTTCATGGCTCTGAGGCTGTGGTCGTCCTTTTCGTGGGCGCTGGTCGTCGTTCGCCATCTGTTTGTGTCACGTAGTTGCTACGTTGCTGACTGCAACATGGCCCGACTCGCTCGTGGGGGCGTTCGTGGCTCTCAGGCCGTTGCGTGTGCTGGTCGTCATTTTTCGTGGGCTCTGGGCGTCGTCCGCTTGTTAGGATGGAGGTGCTCAGCGTGATAATATAAACAGAAACGACGGACGACGAAATGTCGTCGCCCGTCGTTTGGTTGCCATGTTGCTGTTGGCGACGTGGCAGCTGGCATTGTTGTTAGAAAACGAAAAGGGGGGAGATGTGTGTGCGCTCACCAAGAAGATGACCTGGCAACCGCAACGTGGCGCTCATCGTCAATTGTTGTGGGTGCTGGTCGTCGATTGCTGTGAGCGCTCATCGTGGGCGCTCATTGAATGCTGTGGGCGCTCATCGTTGATAGTCGTGGGCACTGGTCGTCGATTCCGTTGATTGGGTTGCTGTTGCCAGGCGGTCGTGGTTGTTGGGTCATCGTTTGCCAGTTTGTCGTTTTCCTTGCGTGTGGTTCGTTGGGCGGTTGTTGTCGGTTTTGGGCGGCCATGGTTGTTTGCGAAGGTGGGGGTTACGCGACCTGTACGTGATGTAGCATGGCGGCAACGTGGTGGTGAGGCGGAGTCGTTGGCATGGACGGCGTCCTGGTGGTTGAGGAAGATGTGTTACGAAGTCACAAATGTGTGACTTCAGTGGGATCAAGGTTCAAACTCACCCAATACAGATGCAGTTGGAAATTCAAAGATTTGAGAATCTTTGTGGGTCCCTATGGTTCCATGAAATTTAAAGTGTCAGTTGCACCTTTGTCGGTAAGAAGCTGGAGGGATTCAAGGCATTACATACAGAATAATGAGACCTGACATGATATCGAAGCAGCACAGATCTAGAATTGTTGATGAATTGTGGCACAAGATAGGTCCGTTCGCGAATTGCGGGGCATGAGAAGAGTGAGGTCGATAATTGGAGGGGATTGAGAATGATTTGTGCTGGGGACCAAGACGCCAACACTACAGCTATTGCGTGCATGGTGATGGCCTACCACGTTTGCTCAGTAATAATCACGTACAACTGATCTGATGCTCACAATCTAGGTTAACGGTACGTAGACTGACCAATGAGAAAATATGCATGGGGGGTTCGTACTTAAGTAATATCATTCAACCTACCTTTAATTTCTGTCTTACATTTGTATTACTGAATCTCGTCGCGAAGTTATACAACCGCCGTGTACAATTTCCTGTACCTTTGTGAATCTTGTAAACTTCCAACGATTCTATTATATGATTCTTTGATCAAAGGATTTTTGGGCAGCTCGCCCGCACATGATTAATATTCTTGTAAGTATTATATTCTAAGCTTAATTAATTAATTGGTTCAGTCCTGTTGTACTTACAAATGGAACGTCAATTTGCACATATGATAATGTGCCTGAGCAGATAGAGGGGCAATTTGTTCCTGCCGTAAGAAGGTTCCCGGACCCGCTCTTTCAAGACCAAAACCAAACCAAAATGGGCACCAACTGCGTGAGTCGCGCGCGGTATGCGTGTGTGCGTGATACACCAATGTCACACATGGTGACTGTGTGACGTTCCTTCTTTCTCCACACCTCCACCATCGTCCACGCCAACAACTCCACCTCACCACCACATCGCCGCCATGCCACGTCATGCAACCCCACCACCGCAAACAACTCTGGCTGCCCAAAACCGACAACAACCGCCCAACGAACCACATGGAATGAAGACCACAACCGGCAAATGACAAACCAACAACCACGGCCGCCTAGCAACAACAACAACCCCAATCAACGAAAACGATGACCAGGGCCCAGGACGATCAACAACCAGGGATCACGGAAATCAACAAATGGCGCACACCACAGCCACAAAGCCACAAACAACCCCAGGGGCAAGCCACGTCACAACTATGCGACACAAACGGATGACGATGATCACGTCGTCGTCGTCAGTTCATATTGGTTCCGGTTAGGGACTGTCATGGATACACCCAGGTATTAACCGTACCCGATCCACGGATTTTCCCACCCACAGATCAGATAAGGCACATTACGGATATATCCGTGGGTAAAACGGCCTGAGTGGCTGAGGACGTAGCTTCAGTTATATAAATGAGTGTATCTTGTTCATTTCTTGTCTGTTTTTTACAAAAAAAAATTGTGTTATGAAGCGAAAATTCAGAAGAATTCATATTAAAACAAAAGTCATTCATATATGATCTAGATTGAGTACAGTAAAACTAAAGTTATTTATATATCATAATCTGAGGTCTTTCCCTTTATATAATGCTGCTGTAACTGAGCCTTGATCACAGAGTGTGTTTTGGGGTGTGTATTAGCATGCCTTGGCCATCTTGAGAGTATTTATTTTCAGTTTCAGAGAAATGCCTTTGAGAACAATTGATATTTATGTAGAGGTATTGAAAGAACAATTTTGGTGACATAAAGTGTTACAAAAAGAAATCATTGTCCATCTTTTTTTCAATCATTTGCATAACTTTATTGAAGCCTGGGTAGAGGGGGGATTTAATCCAGGATCTGAGAGCCATTTCTGCTCTGAATGTTTGAGAGTTAATATTGTGCTGGGTGAAATTGATCTGACGGTGGCCAGTGGAAAATGCTCGCTCTGCATCCACAGAAGTAGCTGCAACAATTGTTGAAAATAAAGGAACATAAGTGTGAATAATGGTGCTTACCTGGGGCTGAGCAGAAATCAGAACCCATTCGTGAGAGTTGTGGTCAGGACTGTGATGCATTGTGCCAGTACATCATATAACCTCCCATTTCCTTGATTGTTTCTGTTGCTA